GAAGAAGCCAGCGAGACGAAGATGAAGGCCCGCAGCCCTGAGGTGAAGATTGACGACATGAGACAGGTTGCGAGATAGGATAGCTCCTGTAAGCTCACCATACTCGCGTCTGTACACTCGCATCAACATCGCTCGATGCTCGTCACCTGCGACGCCTCTGGGGTCGCTGGCATTACTGTACATCTCCTTAGAGACCTTGTCACAGAACCGCTCTATCTGGAGCCTGGCCTCCAAGTCGGGCGATAGTTGAAACGGTCCAGACTCGCCAGGACGAATTGCCAAGGTCCAATCATATAGTGTCGAAGCTGGCTGTCCATAACCAGTGCCGATTGTCTGGGCCACGATGTTACAGACAGCCCATGTCGTCACACGGTCATGAAGCTGTTCCTTGTTCAGATCGAGAGGTATGCGGGAGAAATCATTGATATGGTTCGGCCGATGCAGACCAATGCCAGTAGCGGTCTTCATCATGACTCCGCAGAGAATATGGGTAGGATCAGCCGTTGAGGTGCTTGTAGGGAGGGGCCATGTACATAGCAGACATAGTGCCTTGACAACGAAGTGACTGCTGGGAACATCGCCGATTGTTTGCCAGAGTAGCCGTGTAAGCGGCCCACCCAGCGTATTGAGTAGTGTTGGGTCAGGAGCATAGCGACGAGCGGCAACTGACACTATGCTCCAGTACAGCAAGGAGTTTTGCTGATAGTATTGGTCAGGGGTTTGAGAGGGGTTGAGGAAGGGAAGGAATTGATGATAATAGGCGAAGAACTCATTGAACAACTGCGACTCAGCATCTTCAGTCAAACGAACATCCTCGAGCTCACGACAAATGCGGGGCATGCTGTAGGAGCCGCCCCGCTTGAGATGCAGAAGGGATGACACAGCCTCGTCAGATCCCATCAATGAGGGGTTGCGGGTATGGCTGTAGACGCTGTTGACGACGGGAGATTGCAATTGCGACTGCAATGGGTCTTCCTCTTCGGCCTCAGCAACAAAGCCTTGGGCCCGCGCCCGCTGTACACTCCGGCGCAACTTCTCAATTTCTTTTTCCATTTCGGCGTGTTTGGAGCGCTTGCCGATGCGCTTGAAGTTTGACTCAATCTTGCACTCCAGCTTGAGGCGGTTACATCTGGAGCAGCTCTGGAAGGGGTCTTGTACGACATCGCAGCGCAACTACGTTTAAAAGAAGCAGTCATCAGTATCAATTGCGCACAGTTTGCAGGTGGGCTTTGTGGTTGCGGTGATGGTATAAACACTGAATGCTGACAACCACTTTGTGGTGACTCACTTTCTGCTGGCGACACTCATTACAGGCCCTCTTCACTCCAGGCTGTCTCTTCTTCTCTGAATGATCCAAGTCATCGTCACCCATGATGCTTCCCGGGCTGCTTTCCATGCCTCCGATGCCTCCAGCGCTGCGTTTTCTCTTCGGACCACCGTTGAGGCCGGCATGATGACTCCGAACGCTCACGGGGGAGGTCGGGCTTAGCGAAGCCGCTCCTCCGGCTCCGTGCATTGCGGAACCATCCATGCACGCCCGGATTTGTAAAAAGAATTAAATGTATGGATGGCAGCGAATTGCTTCGCCGTTACCGCAACGGAAAAAGAGTGACAAGCAAAAACCGATAATAGACGCTTTGCTGGCGGGCCGGTGTCGCGACTGGTCTTGAGGAGGGTTGAGAACAGAAGCAAAGTCCGAAATGCGGAGGCGGGGTGAGTGATTGACTGAGTGGTCATGGCTCAGAGAGAGTGTTTGTTAGGAGCGCTATGCGCAAGAAGCAAAAAATTTAATCGCGCCATTCTTAGCGGCGGGGTCCAGCCTATCAGTCGCTCGAAATGGAAGGAACGTCCCCATCACGTGCCTTCCACGCTTGGCCGCCGCTTGCCGTCGGCGTGTTGGCCGCACTTTCCCCCGCCCTCTCTAGCAGAACAAAACAAAGCTGCGAGGACCCTGACGGCCTCCTTCCTTTTCGAGCAACTCATCGTTCAAGTGAGGAGCTCCTCTTGCACGTGGCTCATTACATCGAAGCCGGGAGGCTGACAAAGGCAAACATCTCTTATTAACATAAGTCTCTTCAATTGAAGGTGCATTGAACCTCGTCTGTCCTCTCCGATTCCCAGCCATTCCATTTCGCCTCTGAGTGGGGCGCTTAGCCATGCCGGATGCGGACAGCTCAGGGTCTCGCCTCATCAGAGGGCCTTTGCGTCCGGCTGCTCCTCCACCATGTCCCGTGTCATACGCGCAGCCGCCGCTTCCAAAGAATGAGATCTCCATCGACAAGCCTGAAGACGCGACAAGTCAAAGTACATCCTCCTTGGGATGGGGTTCCTTGGCCAAAACACAGTGCTAATCTCACGTCTTAGATGGTCGTGTTAACATCATCCATGTGTCGTCTACATCAGTCCCTCAGCCCTTCGTAAATCCAGAATGCACATTTGAAGGCCCAAATCCCGGCGGTAGACCGTGAATCAGCCTAGCGTGCCGCCGACTTGCGTGGTGAGTACGGGGAGACTGCCTAGTCGACACACGTGGTAGGTCCCCGGAAAGCCCGAATCTGTGGTTCAGCCCTTGAAGGAGCATCTTGTCATGCGCAAGAGTCCCGCTGCAGGGGCGAAGGGAGATGAGCTTCAGCGCGGGCTATAGAAGCCTACCTGCCGGTACGGTCCCGTATTGGGGAGGTTGACATGGGCTTTCCATGGTCGCATATCAGTCTCTCGCCAGCGGAAAAGCCACGAGGCGCGCGTGAAGGAGCCGGCATGTCTTCCAGGAAATTACGTGTTTAGGCTGAGCAGCACTATATATTTCCGACGCTGTGCCACATTCCGGATGATTGTGAGAGCACCCCTGTGCGGCGTAACACATTCGTATGGAACAACATGTTGGTAGCGCCCAGGTCACCGATGGCTGTACTGATCACATCGGTGTGGAAAGTGACATGACGGCCGGTACTCCCGGGACCGAAGTATCAGCGAGATCAGCTTCACCTTCCGCTTTCGAGCGTTGATTTGTCGGCGCATCGGACCGCAGAGGACAGATGGCTGTACTGGCATAGGCTGGCAGCTCATCGCATGAAACTGTTGGTGACCGAACACTTGCGCGTGCATTGGGTTGTCGTGACGACATTAGACACCCGGAGCGATGAGAATATTGGAGTTATGCAGAAGGTTGATGGCTTGTCGAAATGTCCGTTGCGAGCTTTACTCACAACTTCCGGCCGGCCTCCTTGCCGACACGGATCAGATTTTAGTGCCTCCGGCCCCACCTAAGGAAGACCTCAGGAGGTGACGGGTCACAACGCTGCTCTACATTGCCTAGCTAAGCTAGTCTCTGGGAACTCTCATCGCTCTCTACCTAGTATTGATTCATAAGAAGTATCAAATTTTGTTGCTGTTGACAAACAGTCTCTCAGTGTCTATACACCTGCAATAGGAGGCGGTTTAGGGACACCATTTGTTCCAGTTACAAGTGCAACTCTGTGATATGCGGCTATTAGACGTTTCAGGCTGTGCAAATCTTTTGGACGAGGTAGTTGCATGTTTGTTCGGAAAGATTCAAGCCCTCAGAGCTACAGCAGAATCCGAGACACAAATATTTCCATTCTAAGAACAATTGTGTGGATTCTGGATCAAAGATTCACCAATACTATTAGCTACCAGGCTTGACTGCCCCGCAACAACTGCCGGGAGACATCCCCACCTCCTGGAACAACACTCTTAGATCCCACGTGCATTGCCAATAAACCAGAGGACTGAGACATTCGCTACAGTATTTTTTCAAGACATGCATCTTCATTGAAACAAGGACACAATGTAATGCAGAGTCTTGACTGCAATGGGAACACTGCATACAGGCTTGTTATATCCGTAGAGGCTTGCCGGCTTGCGCCAAGGATCCTAAAAAGATAGCTTGGAGCCGTTATACGTGCAGACTGAGCATATCGACGCTATTTCTGCTGCGAAATATCCCCGCCGACACCCATGCCCACTTACCGAGATGCGGGGTGTGACGAGCTCCCGGTAGTCTTGATGTAATGCTCAAAGTGGTGGAGCTGTAGATCAATTATATATAAACGCTTGTTTAGTGCCTGGAGTCTGTGGATTCTGGGTTACGTCTAAGTTCAATTACGCGGCAAAAGTAAGGAGTTGTGGAGCGAGAAACCTTTGAGACGTGCGAACGTAGACAAGACTTTACCCAACCACAAAGACATCGCTGTCTCAAAGAATTTCGATCATGGGAGCGAGCGATACACATACCGTGCCTTTCTTCATAGGCGGCGAGGAGATTGTGACCGAGAAGACATTCGAAATTGTCAATCCCGCAACGGGGAAGGCCATCCACAAATGCAGCAGCGCCTCCGATGCGGACGCCCTGGCAGCGGTCGAGGCGGCCGCAAAGGCATTTCCAGCATGGAGGGACCTTGTACCACGGAAACGCCGCGATATACTTCTCAAAGCAGCCGAAGTGCTTGAGAGGAGGCGAGATGAGCTCGCTGGTTACATGATCGAGGAGACCGGTGTCCCACGCGGCTGGGCAGACTTCAATCTCGATGTCGCGAAGGACTTTATCATTGATGTTGCTGGTCGCATCTCTGGCCTTGAGGGGACGATACCAACGACGCAAGATCCTGGCGTCGGCGCATTGGTATTGAAGGAACCTTTTGGAGTGATCCTAGCGATTGCCCCCTGGTAAGTACAATTTCACCCACAGGACAGATGCCTTGCGACTTACGCTCCAAAGGAATGCACCGTACATTCTGGGTGTGAGATCGGTGGTATTTCCTATCGCCGCAGGCAATACCGCCTTACTCAAAGGCTCGGAGCTTTGCCCACGGACAGTATGGGCGATTTGCTCCATCTTCCACGAAGCTGGCCTTCCCAAGGGAGTCCTCAACTTCATCATCCATGAACCCTCCAATGCTGCATCTATAACAGCCAAGTTAGTGGCAAATCCACATATAAAGAAGATCAATTTCACTGGCAGTACTGCTGTTGGGCGAATCATGGGCAAGCTTGCGGGCGAACACTTGAAGCCGATACTTCTCGAACTGGGCGGTAAAGCACCTGCAATTGTGTGGGAGGATGCAGATCTGGACATCGCAGCGGACGAGTGTGCGCTCGGAGCTTTTCTCAACGCTGGCCAGATCTGCATGAGCACTGAGCGCATCATTGTCCACAAAAACGTTGCGGAGGCATTCGAGCGAAAATTCCTCGGCTCAATTCAGAAGTTTTTCTCCTCAAGCGGCGAGGCTCCTGTGCTCATCCACAGTCCAGCCGTCGAGAAGAATAAGAAGCTGCTCAAGGACGCAGTCAGCAAGGGTGCAACTCTGCTGAATGGCGATATTGACACCGAGGAAGCTAGCTCAAACCGCATGCGGCCAATTGTAGTCAAAGGAGTGACCACGGAGATGGAAATCTACAAAACAGAGTCCTTTGGACCAAGTGTGTCGCTATTAGAGGTCGAGACAGAGGAGGAGGCGTTGCGCATTGCGAACGATACCGAGTATGGCTTAACGTCAGCAGTTTTCACTGAGGACCTACGACGAGCGCTCCGCCTTGCGAAGGGTATTGAGACGGGCGCCGTTCATATCAACAGCATGTCGGTGCATGACGAAAGTGCCCTTCCTCATGGTGGCGCAAAAGCTAGCGGGTACGGAAGGTTCAATTCGATCGGATTGGACGAATGGGTGCGCACGAAGAATGTCACGTTCAAGTTTTAAGTGAAGAGAGGCATCATCTGAGAAGATCAATCTGTCATGCAGCGGTTAGCCATGAGTAGGCTCTGTGTAGTGGTTCGGTTTTGACCGAGCAATATCTTGGAAGTAGCGAGGGGTAACGATTTTGTATGAGGGACTTCACATAATCTCTTGTATCTCATGTAAGCACCCGCAGATCTATGGTGGTGGTCGATTCTACCAACCAATACTCGAAACGTATTCAGCCCATGGTTATCAACGCACTGGCCAAAGATCTGGGTCTCCTGCCCACCTCCTCTCCAAGCTAGGTTACTTGCATCATGATCCAATCGCGAGATTCGTGCGAGAGATGTTGTCCAACCACAAGTTAATCGTGATTCGTCCGACCAACTTCTCGGAACGCAACTAAATATTCAGCCGCTCAAGTCTCTCTCATTGGAGAACTTACATTCCTGCCCATGAACATATCCTGCTTTGTATCCAGGCTCTGCAATATGACAGTCTTGGTCTTCAAGCCACAGCAAAGAGATATCGCTTCGTTTACAACGGTTACGAATCAATTTCCTTGATGTTGATGGTACAGCACTAGAGAACGAATATGACCGTCCCAACATCTCGGAGTTTCAACATGATAGACGATAGTATCTAGAAGTTCCTGGAACGAGATGTAGTGTTCTGTTGGGGCATGGCGCCTGGTCTAGTTTCAAGATTGTATGTGCAGAATTGCATAATTTCATGGAACACAGCATTGAGCTAATGAGATCGTAAATGCACCATGAGACGCCTCATCACACTCACTCTAGGGAGATCATTCGAAGCTAATCCATAGCCAACCTGTGTGAGGGGTTTTTGTTGCTGAATATGCTTTGTAATGGCAGATGGCTTGTTCATGACTATGTCTTGGGATTGCAATGCGGCAGGTAGACCTCAAACCAGGGCGCGAAATGATTTCCGTTGATATGGCTTGGTAGCCAACTCAAATTCAACCGAAAGGCAATCTTCTTGTCGGTGTCAAAGTGACAATCTCTATCGTCTGGTTGGCTATGAATTATCATATCTAGGACGAATGAAAGGTTTCTTGGGTTCCATGTGTCTAGCCTCATTGAGATGCAGGTGTTTTTGTATTTGATATCAAGTATGCGAGCGGAGCAGATCTCGACGTATAGGGATAGAGGTTCAATTGTCCAGACGCAGCACGCTGCATTCATACTTACCTTTTATGGCATCGTCTTGCTTCGTCTCTCCGCACGAAAATCGAAAGATGTTCTTCCCATATTTGAAAACAACCATTTCAAATCCACAGAGAGTTTTCTCCCAACAACCTCGCCTATCGCGCCGACCTGTCCCTGTACTCGTGAGATTTCTCTATATTGTGTCCTAAGTCAACCATGGCTATCATCAATCTAGTGGCTGCCACTTGTCTTTGGGTAAGTTCGTAAAATCTCATGAGTTCTCAAAGTTCTTAAATTGATCCTGCTATTCTGCCGACTCCGATTTTGTCGAATGCTGACTTGAGTAAAAAGATTCTCGTCATGATCATTGTCCGTTTAATATATAATGCCTTCTTCCATCCACTCTCTTCTTATCCCGGTCCCCTCCTTTGGGGAGCGTCAGATGTTCCCAAGGTTGTCCAACAAATGAAGGGCACGATTCATGACGCCGTGCTTGAACTCCACGAAAAATACGGGGCGGTCGTTCGTATTGCCCCTGGAGAATTGAGTTATATTACTGCTGGCGCTTGGAAAGATATCTATGGGAATAGGCAAGGTCTGAAGCCAATGCCACCCAATCCTATCTACGGCATCAGAGAGAAGGAATTCTTCGGCGCTCTTGGACTTCTATGGCTCGAAGATTTCGATAGCCACCTTAGGCACCGCCGTGTCATATCACCAGCATTCTCAGACAAATCTCTGTCGCAACAAGAAGCCCTCATTACGAAACATGTTGATCTTCTCATGCTGCGCCTTCGAGAACGTACTAGTCAAGCAGTAGACATGTGGGCTTGGTTCAATTATACGACTTTTGATATCATTGGGGACTTGACTTTCGGTGAGCCTTTCGGCTGTCTTGAAAATTCGCAGATGCACCCATGGATATCGTTCATCTTTTCGAGGCTCAACATGATGATGTACGGGCAAATTATTGATACTTTAGGCTTCTGGGGTAAGATAATCGAGGCAATGGTTCCACGGCGGATCAAAGACCAAGCATTGCACCATGTGCGATCCACGAAGTCTAAGGTCGACAAGCGCAGGTCCCGCCTCACCGGTCGACCAGACTTTATGACCCATATTCTCAGCCATGTGGGCAAGGCTTCTGGCATTTCTCTAAGTGAGCTTTATGCCGATTCACAAATTCTTGTGATGGCTGGCTCGGAGACTTCGGCAACTCTGTTGGCTGTTGCAGTCTTTTACCTCCTCAAAAATCCTGCGACTATGGAGCGACTCAAAGCGGAAGTCCGAAGCACATTCTCTTCTGAAAATGAGATCACTTTCGCCACAATCTCGAAACTCCTGTACCTACTTGCTGTCATCAATGAGAGCTTACGCATTCATCCACCGCTGCCTGCCGGCGTGAATCGTCGCGTTCCCAAAGACGGCGCTGTTGTCATGGATCGTTTTGTCCCAGCTGGTACAAACTTGCAAGTTCCGCACTGGGCAGCATACCATTCGCGAACCAACTTCAAGCACCCATGGGCTTTCATCCCTGAGCGCTGGCTGGAGGGAGATAACACGTTCGCGGACGACAACAAAGATGTATTTCAACCATTTAGTTTTGGTCCCAGGGCTTGCATTGGAAGAAGCCTTGCATATATGGAAATGCGTATTATACTGGCTCGACTCGTCTGGAACTTTGACCTCGCGTTAAGGTCAGAGAGCGCGAAGTGGAACCAGCAAAGAGTATTTCTTTTATACGAGAAGAAACCATTGATGGTGAATATTCTACCCGTGAATGGGCGAGATTAGATTGGTATCTCCCTCTTTCTTTTATGTCCACGATATTGGACATTTCCCCACCAGCACACCTGCAAGCTGGGTTTAGTCTGATTATACACCCCAAAGATAGTATTGACTTCCACCTAAGAGCACAAATACTTGAATACAGATAATTCTGTGATGAAAGTATTCATGATCTGAAACTTTTTTACGTTTATTGAGCGATGGTTTCGTATTCCGCCAAGTCATACATGTCAAGCCAACTCTGCCAACGAGACTGCTAATATCAAATCAATACACGGTCTAGATTCCCAGGTTTGCTGTAGGATCCAAATATTTGTGCTATACTAAAACCTCTAGTCTTCCTGATTACCGTTAATCAGCACTCTGTAGGTTTCAGCTCCTTAGTAATACGGCCCATCAACTCCGGTTGGCATCTATACGCCTCGGCATACCTTGGCACGTCCTATTTCGACAACGCGAACCTATAACATGGGCAACATGAGTGTTGGTATGGTCTTTTCCACTCGAGATTTCCAAAAGCATGATCGCAAAGCACAGTATCGCGACGGATTTGACAAGCAAGCCGTTCTCAAATCCGTCTCGGATGTCACAAATAGTTCTCACATCAAGCACCGTAGCTGCCGTTTTCCAAACCCCCGTCTTCGATTCATGGTGTTTAGCGATTTGTTGATGTCGGGGAAAGGGAGAAAATCGCATATCTGCACTCATATCATATGATATGGAATGATTGCTTGTGTAATTTGCCCTGCGAGCACAAGCGTCGGGCTTCACCATCCATGAAACCATACAGCAGCGCTGGGCCAACTAGGTGAAAACTGTCACCTCGTTTGCGCAGGATCATTGGGTATATTGCGCCCTCGAGTACGACGCAAAGGTCACCTTCGCGCATGATTCGTGGGCCAAGTCCAATGTGACCGTTGGCAGTTCGAAACACCTTTCGGCACATGCAAGTCCATGTAATATCTTGTATGTATTGAGAAGCCGAGCCTTGCGATGCCATCTCTCGGATGAGGGCCTGTTCTTCTTCTGAAAGACTGGAAAAGAATCCCGGGGTGTAGTCGTTTGGTTTGATCTTTTCAAACTCGAGGATATATGCCGACAGTCCGTTCTGAGTCTGTCTAATGATGTCGACCTCAACTGCCTTTTCACCATTCCAGAAGCCTCCAGGCAGCAGGAACGACAAGGCTGCGATAAGAAGTATTGGCGAATTGAGCGGAATTTCTGGGTTTACTGAGATTTTAATGAAAATATGGTCTATCAGGAATGGCATTTGCTTCCTCAACTCTCTCTCGATGGTAGTTACTGTGAGCTCGCTGGGGTCAAACATTCCGGACATTGCCTGAACAGTGTCAATGGAGAACCCGTTGCACTCCAGCATCATACTGTCGTTGGATTGTTTGACCACTATATTATGGTCTGCTTCAGCTGCAGCGTTTGTAGGTGAGCGTAAAGGCGCAACAAGATTTGGCGCATGCCAGTCTGGTACCCAAGTTGGTAAATTGGTGGAGTCCAATTCTTCACCATGATCGACGAACGACAAGATATGAAGGCTCTTAGTCCTTTCAATAACGTTGAGAGCCAAATCGGTATACGCTTGCGCTGTAGATATTCTGTAGTCAGGCTGGACTAAGAGTGTACCATCGACTGTTGCACTGGGATGTGAGAGTAAAGCGTAGATATAATCCCGGGGATCAGTGCTCTGGTGGACGCGCGCCCAGTGAAGCACTTCAACAAAGTTGAAGCGCGGTTTGCCGTCCGAATTCATCTCCCATACTAGGTTGATGTGATTACAAACCCACGATTTTAGCTGAAAATAGTTAACCAACGCAGCACCGTTGTCATCCATGAATCTCGCAAAGTCAGCTACCTCAGACCAGTCCAGCCATACGTTCTTATGACCCCAGAAGAGGCGAGCCTGACGGCCCAAACCCACTTCCTGGATGATCCAGGCACGATGGAAGTAGTCAAGGTCAAAGAGCTCTTTAACTGCAAGCCAGGATCTGTAGCTGGGGCTTGCCTTGTCATATTCGGCTTTGCCATTGATGTGGAGATGTTGCTGGGCATTTTGCAGCTCTTCTTGCGGGTTCTTATTGAAAACCCTCAGATAGTCGATTGCTAAGCGAGCCGTTAACTCTCCGGTGTACGGATCTTTGAAGGTACCCAACCATGCCAGCACCATCTGCGCATTGCGGAACACATCGCCCATTAATCGCACCTGAGCTTGGCGCTCTATGACATCGTTTTGATTGATACTGAGAGCATCTACCCATATGCGACGGGGGCTGCCGGTGAGCCGGAATGCGGTGAGAGCTTTGGCCAGATTGGCTCCGATGCCAAGAAAGCCGTCTACGGAGCCGCCGCCGGTTGCCCCGTCGTAACATCGGATGCGGTCGGTCGGGGTTGGATCGCCCCACACATAAGACAGCGCCTCGTAGGGCTGGTGGTGATCTGCTGCGACATGCTGGATGACGATCCGGCATTCTAGCGGCGCAGTATTGGCCGGATCCCCGGGCAGCAGCTCCAAGATGCGAATTGACTGCGCCGGCAGTGCCGTGTAGATGTAAGTCGACGCCGGCGCCATCTGGCTTGAGGCTTTGTGGCGCTCGCTCTGACACGTTCGCCAAGCCCTCCGTTCGCTAATTGAGCGTGGTCTGCCTGCTTCAAACCAGCGGTTCCAGCCAAGAGTTTAGCACAACATACCACTACCGCTCAGCACATGTCGCGATAGCTTCATATTGATGGACTCTTTTCTCATACACGGACGATTGAGGCTGAAGGAAACTCGAAGGCCGACATGACACGATATCAAGACCGCCACGAAATCCCTGAGAGGCGTAATTACCCCTCTCGGATGCCGACTCTTCACATTTTCAGCTTAGGTCTAGGTCTTGGGTGACAGCTGTATGGTCCGTGCACGGGTATCATGATCCTGTCCAGCATTGATACTAAGTGTGCTAACGGTTTGTGGATCGGAGAATGCTAGACTACCTAGGGAAATAAGCTCATGAGGTAGTAATGGGGCACTTTCTATTGTGACGGCTGAATCAAGGGGATGTCGCAAACTCCGTGAAACGATATGAGCCTCAAAAATGGTAGACACCCGTGTTGGACTTTAAAAGACCATGACAATAAATGTAGAGTGCCGTATGTGCTGATTGCGATTGCATTATGGCCCAACCTGAGAGCCCATCGTCGAATCCTCCTCCTTCCTATGAGACCGCCATGACCAAATGAGAACCGAAACCTCATGGCTTAGTAAACACCAAAGAAACATAATAAACAAGTCTTGCACATCAGCCACAGGATATCAGCTCATAGCGAAGCATAGAGCCCAACTGCACCGGCTGCCGCAAGTAACAACCCTCTTGGAAGGTTAAGGATGCCCCAGTGATCAACGAGATATTTGGCCGTCTCCTCTCTCGCACCGATTTCCACCACCTCATCAGTAGCGCCCATGCTTCTCATTTCATCGACCTTAGCAAACAGCTTGCGGTTCGTCGGCATCAGCACGGCCAGGGTGTAGGGTGTATTGCTTGCGCACAGCAAGCCAGCCGTCAGGAACAGGCGCGATTTTGTCTTGTAGGCCAGGTAGAAGAAGTTCAGTCCCGCCAGATGTCCCAGAACGGGAAATACCTTCTTCGTGACATTGAAGCTGTTGGCCCACTGACGAAGCATCAGCGGAGTGGGTGACTCAAGAAGGCGCGGGATGACGAAGAATGATAGAGCAAGGTTGGCACCACCGGCTAACGTTGAGACCAAGATGGACGCCGTCTGCGCGGCGCGAACGGTCGCGCTTTCGCTAGGCATCTTGAGACTCTGTGCCGCTCTAGATGCTCGAATGGAAAGTGATAGTTTTACGGACGTAACCAAGCAGTATGATGATTGCTGTCTTGTACGCGCGGGGTTGGTGTTGTTTTGTTGAAGGAGGTTGACGTTCTGATATCGCGGGGTATGATTTTGAGGTGGGACAAATTTGCCTATAACACATTCTGGTAATAAAACCTGGGCACTCCACAATGCAGAGCACAACAGAGCTGCAAGTCAATTGAACATTCGAAGAATTGATTTCATTGGACGGCATCATGTGGCCATTCGATATTTGGTAAAGCGGAAACCGTGCAGTCTGACTGATGTGAGACTAAAGAGTTATATACAAGTGAGACATGAGCTAAAATGCTAGACTCTTCACTCCTCAAATTCCATCTCACTCTCTTCCAGGTCTTCAGCGTCGTTGTCTCCAGATACACTACCATCTTCAATCTCCCCATTCAACTCCTGTTTCTCATCCTCCTTCCGCTTTCGCTCGTCTTCTTTCCTAGCCTCGTCCAACATTTTCTGCTTCTCCGTACGGATCTTTCGTTGAACAACTACAAAAGCTCCGACAGGTGTTTTCTCCCAGTCGAAGTCCTTCAAGAATGCATCAACCTGTGTCCTGTTCTTTGGAGCAAAGTCTACTCTAGCCCTCTTCTCCTCGATGAACTTCCCGTTCGCCTCGAGTTTCTGCACCAACAGCATAACATTCGAGGCTAGCTTCCCGTTCTTGTTACCACCGCCCTTGTTGCCTCGCACCTCCTTCAGCCATCGCTTCAACATGATGATGACAGGCAAAGAGAACTCAGGGAAAGCAATGTTCGTTGACCAGAGGACAAAGTACTCGGAAAGTAGCTCCACTATCTGGTCGCCGACACCATCCTGGTAGACGCGAGTCCGAAGGTATGATTTGGGTGCTCTATAAGCAACATTAAAGTCGAGCGCCTTAAGAGTAGTAGCTTTCGGCGGCTTCTTCATCTCGGCAGAGTTCAGCACCTCCAGCAGAGCAGATGCTAGGGGAATATAGGTGCCTGTGGCGCGAGAAAGACGAAGTAGAGATCGAGTGAGTTGGAATCGTAAGGGGAAGTATACGGAGGTGGGTATCAATCGCATAGCGCCAAGAGTGACCTGAACAAGAGGGTAGATGAGGAGCTTCAGCTGGCTTTCCTTCCCAGCTTCTGCCTCCTTCAGGGGACTGCAATGCTCTGACAGCACACATGACCAAAAGTCGAGAGAGTGGACGTATTGCCAATTGTAGACTGCCCTGTACGAGTCATTTTGGTTGTGCGCGATACTGTTGCGGAGATGAATGGCCAGTTGTCGAATGAAGGTGAATGCAGTCGTGTACCCAATCCCCTGGTCAATGCCCCACAGCTCTGCTGCTGAGTTCTTCATCAGGTTGATGCCCTGAATTGTGTTTGCATTCGTCGATCGGCTGCCTTGAATCAGACCTTGATAGGTGACTTTGAGTACAGCTTCTCGTACACCCTTGTCACCAATGACCACTAGCCGCCGAAGAACTAGGAAAGCTGTAATTCGTGTCGCTTCACTGCTAGAGGATTGAGACCAAAAATGCACTACGGTCTTGATGAGATTCTTGAGGACCTTTCGGAATGAGAGCATGTATGGAAGAAGAGGCGTGAGCGCGGAAATAGTAAGTTTGAGGGTGGCATCGTCCGACAGGGTGCTTAGAAGGTGAAGAATGGAAGCCGTATAACTCCGGATAAGAATAGATAATGTCTTGAACTTTTTCGAATCGGTCGGCACATAGACCTTCCCGGCAGCCGACTCCTTGACAGGGACATGGTGTTGCAAAACCTCGGGTATGTGCTTCAATGCAACAACCAAAATGTCGTGGAAAGCCTCGGGATTCGATATGGTGTATCGCTGATTATTCTCCTCATCCGCCTCGTTTAAGTGAGCCGCAGATCTGAATGCGAGCACAACTTGCCTTGCGGCACGGAGTGAGTGCTTCTCGGTCATGGATGCCTTCCACTTGGCAACCATATCTTTCGTCAACTCGTTGCTCTGTGTGAACTCATCATCTGAATCCTCCTCTTCTTCCGCAGCCTTCTTGCTCTTCTTGCGCTTCTTCTTGGGCTGCTCATCCTCACTTGCGCTAAGCTCGTCGATCTCCTTCAAATCCTGATTCTCGTCAAAGTCTAATGCTTCGGGATCGTTCTCCTTGAGGAACTCGTAGAACTCGGGGTCGTCTTTGGCCAAGGCATCCATCGCGCTCTTGCTCATGCCGACATCCTCATCTGCGGAGTCCTCTTCACTATCGTCTGCCCGAGCAGGGGTATCAAGGGCCAATTCTGCATCGCTCGATTCGTCGGAAGAGGCATCATCGGTCGCTGGCGCATCACGCTTTCTCTTGCCTAGCTTTCCGCTGGCGTCCTTCTTCGCCGACTTGCCCTTGTCGATGATCTCGAACCCGCCCTTAAAAAAGTCATCGACGCTCATGTCGCTGACCTTGGCGCCGGGCTTCTTGCTGCTGCTGGGTGCGCCATTCGCCGGCTTAACGCCCTTGTAGAACTCGTCATCTTTGGACCGCTTCGCTTGCTTTTTCTCCTTGATCTGCTGGCGCTGCTTGATCTTTGCGCCAGCCTTTCGTTTTTCGAGGACGCCCTTCAGGTGCTTCTTCTCGAACTTCTTGGTCGCCTTGAGGTTCTTCTTTGAGGTGGCCATTCTGAGCTTCAATTGCGATCCCGAACCTCGGGGACAATGTGCAGAGTTACCAATGTGCCCGCAATTGAAAGATGCAGATTCCACCTCCAAGGAATTTTCCTAAATTTTTCTTATCGAAGAAGCTTATCGTTCTTGGCGCTAGGCCTTTCATAGTGGAGTGGAAGGCGGTGTGGCTGGGATCTGCCGCATTGCGCGTCACTGTTAGCGGGGAGTTGGCGGGGCATTCAACTCAGTGCATGTAGGCTCTCTCAGCGCATGCATCACACACTGGGATGCTCACTACAGTATAGATAGTGAAGGCATCACCATGTTACCACGGCAAGCTTATGCGCCAACGCCTCACAGTTACATCCCAAACACTTCCCTATCTGCGACAATCAATTTGGATGAGGTATAATTGAACTCCAACTCGAGTTTGCGTGACCCAAGTGCTAACATTCGTGCAGGAAGTCAAGCTAGCTGAATCTCGAGCAGAGCGTGATCTGCAAGATTCTCTCGCAGAGATATTCAGCATCATAGTCACTCTTGATGAGCTAGAAAAAGCATTCCTAAAAGATGCGATTCCAGAGGCAGACTACACGGAGATTTGTGAACGTTCGTTGAAGCAATATAAGTCCATACTTGCGGATGAGACTGTCGCCAAAGCATTCGGCGACTTGGAGGAGTTTAAGGCAGAATGGGACGTGCGTAGCAGTTGACTCTTCATCTTCTTGCCGTGTACACTCTACTAACAATCTTCCAGCTTGAAGTCCCTCGAGCTACAGAGCGCATCCGAGTGGGCATGCCCTCGACAGCAGTGACAGCATCTGCCGGAAGCGCTCCCACTCCTTCGTCAGCAGGGAACACCAGCGGAGCTTTGATCTTGGAAGCGACCCAGGACTTCATTACGTTTCTGGATGCTCTGAGGCTAGGGCTTCTAGCTAAAGATCAACTACATCCGTTATTAACCGATGTCATCCAGTCAGTCAACAAGGTTACTGATAGGGATTTTGAGAACAGGGGCAAGATTGTGCAATGGCTCATCACACTAAACCAGATGAAGGCGACAGAAGAGCTGAGCGAAGCACAGGCGAGAGAGTTAGAGTTGGACATCAACTCGGCTTACCAAGGATTTAAGAGCACCCTTTCATAGCATCTGTAATTTAGCCTAGCATGTGACTTTGTTAATGATACAATAAACGCCAAAGAAGACTTCCATGATCTGTAAAAAACAACTCTATACCAAGAATGTCCAGAAGCTAGGATAGACGAATTCCTCTTCGAATATCCTCCTCACTTGTTCCAGGACGAAGCGCTCGACTTTGCCTACATTCTTCAGACTCTGCTTCGTGCCTTCCCTTTGCCCAATCTCACTCTCTACTCTGATTTCCTGTAACAAGCCGCCGAACTTCGCAGCTCCTCTGGCTGGGGAGTTCTCGCCAGTCAAGCCGTCCTCATTAGTGTCTGCGCCAACAGCGGCAAGGGCATCTTCGGGGCTGAGGAAACAGAAGTGTACCCGCTTCCGGATGTAAGCCGCGACGCCGATTCCGTCAAATGTCAAGCCAGTGATGCTTAATCGAAGCGGAATCCCGACGAAGCTGGGCATGGGGTAATCAAGTAGGATATCTGCAGTCAATAGCAACTTGACATCGCCTGCATACTTGATCCTGAAGACAGCTTGGATATCCTCGATCCGAGGTTCGCGGAACCGGCGATGTGCCTTGTCTTGGCCATCGTCGTCGTCGCCATCCTCATCCTCGTCAATGGCCGACTCCACCAAGGTAGATGCGTCCCGAGTCGGTGGTCTCGAGGAAGCGCCTGTCGAGGTGGGCGCCAGTGTAGAGACGCTCGACTTTTCTCGTAGTGCCTGCTGTAAAGGCTGTAGCGGAGTCATTCCACTGAGAGCGTTGATGTCCGCCTCTGAGTTGACTGAGCTCTGACTTGGATGACGGTTATGGCTTGGCGCATGATTATCGATGCTCTGGTGCCTGAGCTGATGGTGTGGTGAGTCGTGTCCTGCATCGAGCCAACCACTGCCCAAATGAGCTCCAGCGACCGCGGCCAGCGGCGTCTGGGTTCCCGAGAGGCCTGTAGCGAGGTGGGAGTGGAAGTAGCTGAGATTGGATGTGCCTCCGGGAATACCTGGCGTGGAAACACCCAGAAAAGGGCTGCCGAGGTCCTGCGCTTGCGAATAAGGGTGATGGAGCCCGGCGGTGGTGATGTGCGGCGGCAGAGCCGTCTTGCCTTCTTCGGTCCTCTTGCGGCGCTCAGCCGCGGCTCTCAGCTCATAGGGAACATCTTCCTCCTCAAAACCCTCATCACTATCCTCGTCATCAGCGGCAGGGTTCTCCTCGTAGAAGTCGGGCAGTGGATCAGTAATGTCCTTCAGCTCCAGCTGTGGCGGGATGCTGCCAAACTCGAAGTCATGCACCGTCACGGACTTGATGAAGCGAGGGAGCGGCACCGACTGGAACTTTGTGTGGATGAAGTCACGAATGCGATGTGCCAGCTCCAGTCCGTCAGGGCCAGTCGTGAGCGTCTCCCAATTGAGATCGATCGACATGAAGGATATCGGGCGGCCTCATTTGGCACAGAAACGTTTGAGTACAGCGAGCTGCTTTGTCGATTGTAAAGAGTCCCGTCAGGCACTTAGTTTAGGGGTGGATGCAGCTGATCATAGTCGCAGATGATCCCAGAATTAGCGGCTAGCGTCCACTACTCTAACACAACCCTGACCACAAGGCATGTACTGTAGGCTCTTCTCCGCCTTTGTTGTAACACTGACACAAAAAATGAGCATTTCACAACGCAGTGTCTACACTCACGAGGCTGAAAACAAGGACATTGAAACACGGCTATTTCATCTAAAATTTAGGGTATCTATTAATCGATTTCGCAGACCTTGGACCTTGACCACGGAATTGTGCATGCCTAGAAACCCCGTTGGCTTGAATATTTGAACCCTCAAAAACTCCTCCAATGCAAGCCATAGACTGGCGCTTTTATAGTCGACTCAAAGATCTGTTGACTGCAGCGCTTTGGTGATGACTTTTAGTCATTTCGAACGTCGCCCTCAAACCGGGCCCGAGTAATGGCTCCCTGTGGGACGCCGAACTGGTGCCAGCAATTAGGGGCTTGTAATATGTATCTCGCCATGGCTTCACGGAAGCGAGACTTGTACTCCTTAGGACTGGTCACAGTGGGCCTATTGCGGCCACCACCCGCGAAGCCGCGGTCTTTGATCCAGCTCTCGAGCCGTTTGTCCCAGGTATAAGTTCTGATACAGTCAATGATCCCGACAACGAGCTCCTTCTTGGCCTCGTCAACCGCAATCATCAAAGAGTAGTCCATGACATTCTGCCGAGCTAGGAATAGGGTGTCGTTCCAGACCTATAATGAGTTAGTATTATCATATGAAGCAGGGAGTTGATATGAACTTACAGATGCTCTTAGAAGTTTCTTGGAGTGCTCCCGGGCAAAGAGAGGCGATTCGTAGATATATTCAACCATATTCTCGTCAAGAAGAACCTCATTCTGCTCGCCTGTTGACTGGATTTTGCGGTTGCGCATCGAGCCCTTCAGATCAAAGATCCTATTTGGAGATCGGTCGTAGAATAAATTCTCCATGACCAACAGATCTAACTTGATCTCGGTATTGGTGACCGGATTCTTGATGCTCACCTGGAAGAACCCGAGCATCTTGGCAATCACAGAGGGAAGATCATGAAATAGGGCCTCGGACATAATGCTAAAGTATGCAGGAGCAAACCTGAGGAAAGCAGCCGTCTCAATTGGTGACAACGATTTCATGACAAGTCGATCGTCTAGAGTCTTCAGGAAAACGGACTTGGTCTTGCCTCCTTTCGAATCCCATTTGAGGCAGCGAGAAAGTGATTCGATGATTCGATCAGCCACACCACACTTCCGCCGAAGAGCATCAAATTGCTCAGCATAAAAGATCTTGCAAAGCATCTTTGCTGAGCCCTCCACGAACTGGTATTTGAGATGCGTGCCGGTGGTCCGAAGCAGACTCTTCTCAAGCTCTTCACCATTGACCAATCCGTCGCCAGACTCGGAGTTGGCAATCGACTTTGTCTCCCCGTCAGCACTATCCTCTACGTCTCTTTGATTTGACATCTTCCATTGATGACGGATGTCAGCAAGTTTAGCTTGGTAATCCTCGGAGCTGAGAGCGAACGCGATTAAAGAGCTTGGTTCATCTTCCCGGACGATGACATCGGAGTCAATGAATATGTGATCGGTAGCGTTGAGGGGGTATTCTAGTGGAGTCCACCAACTGGCCGATCGTTCTGCCCAGAAGTTTGAGAGCATCTTCATGAGGCTGGACTTCTGATGCTTCGGAAGCTCTAGAGGTATCTCTTCGCTCGACTCTAAGGAATCGGCGATTTCTTGCACGCCGGGCAGGATTTCTTCGAGCAGTGACTGATCGGCATCACTCCCACCCGCTTCTTCGTCAGATCCAGCATGGCTTTCGTGTTTCTGATCATCGGTTTCGCCGTCTCCAGCGCCATCATCGTTTTGAGACGGAGCCTCCGTTGACGTTGCAGTATCTTTTAATGTACCAGAAGCATCCGCTGGTTGCATCTCACCACCTTCAGTGGTGGTGTTAGGTCCTGCTGTCTTTGGATCATCGTCCGACGGACCAGGTTCCAAGACTGCTTGATCCACGTCTTCGTATACTTCGACTATGGCTTTAGTCGATGATCGAGGAAGGAACGCTCGAGAGTTGTGCATTTTTGCAGCTCGCTGCTTTCGATCACGTAATCTTTCTTTCTCGAACTCTCGACTCAATTGCTCAAAGTGCCGAGCGAGCGTCGAAACTTTCGACTCTCTCTTCTTTCCATGAACGTAGCGAGGAATAGACGACTGGCCAGCTTTCTTGGTCTTCAATGCGCCGAGGCCGAAACGTTCTGAAAGCTTCTTATCACTCTTGGAAGATTCATTTGTGGGGACGCGATGAAGTTCACCAGGTTCAGGGATCTTCGACTCTTTGCCCAACAGCGGCTTGACCAAGGTTGCATGTGTCCGCGGCAATGTCCCCGCTGGTGTTGAGATCGCTCGTATCATTGGTGGCGATACATTCATGCCAGCCCTACGAGAAGACCCTCGCTCAGGAATTGCTCGTGGCGGTTCCAAGTTGGAGTCAAGATTAGCCGTCACATTTCCCAGTTCTGCTGTCATAGCTTGATGTTGCCGCCGAAGTTGTTCAACTTTCTCTGTTAAGGAGAGCGAGGTATTTAGCGGCGGTGCTACTGGCGTAGCCTGAGTAGTAGGCAGTAGAAGAGGAGAAGGTGTCATCAGTGCGTCTGGATTTGGTGCCTTATTCGGGTCTGGAGGCACAAGCCCTGACTTGTGTAGCGTCGGAGACGAAGGTGTAGCAAGGTCTAGTGGTTCGACACGCTCTGATAACGGCTCAGAGATAAGCGTCTTACTCGGCGAGCTTAGCGCGTCGTCTGTAGTCGTGATTATGGGCACAGGGGCCAAGCTAGCCTCGCTCTCTGATGGTTGTGACGCGGTCTTTTCATCTGGATCAGAGACAGATGTCTGTGTGGTGTGGGGGGTAGTTTTGTCTTCCGTGTCAGTCGATGTAATCGATGTGCCGTCTGTAGTCGTAGTCGGTAAAGATTCCTTGGACTCATTGTCCGTAAACATCTTCTTTAGTTGGATGATTGTCAATTGTCTGACATCTTTGTCCGAGAGAAAGTCGGCTTCAAATTTGGTGAAAGCAGAATCCCAATCTGCTACCTTTTCTAGCATGCCTCGAATAATGGCGTTTAAGGGAATAACTTCATAATATTTGGAGTTCATGTATGCCCCTTGGAGATTGCTTATTAAGCTTGCTTGATCTTCCTGTGCCTTCTTGGTGAGTCGATCAACCTCAGACTTGCAAGCTTCTGCTTTGTCTGGGAGTACGCTGTCAATGCGAATGCTTTTGAGTCTAGCCCTGACCGAGTTCATATAGCGATTCCAACGGTCTTCTGATTTAGTGAAGATTTCATTTTTAAGACGAAGATCGTGATCCACCTTCCAAGTGATACGCGCTCGCGGGACAATGATCTCAAGAAGATCAATCGGGTCATAATGAAGCCGAACAGAAGTTCCTCCATGCCAGAAATAGCGAATATGTTCTTTCTGGTAGTCGTGCGGGCAATTCATCTCGTGATGCATCTTGAGCCCACGACTCCAGAACGACAACTCGAGGTATTTACCAAAGGAATATTTCCAGGTAGCGTCGGACATGACCATGAAGCCCATGTCTCTCTTACACTCCTTGCAGTAACTCCACATATATATCTCCTCGGCTTTTGTATCATCCACGGCCATGGGGATAGACGCGCTCTTTTCGACAAAGATAGTGATCCTAGCTTCGTCATGCACATACGTGCGATGGTGCGCACACATTTGCCTGTCACATCCATTCGCGTGACAAATATTCTCACTGCTGTCACATAGATCCTCAATGTATTGACCCAGAGTGATATCAGGATCCATACTATCCGTAGGTCCCTCTTGATAGAACCCGATAGCAATCAGACTAGGTTCAGTGCATGGGATCTTTGTCTCGGTGCAAATGACGGAATAGAGAACGACGATGTTCTGGTGCGAATAGGGGTCAAACAGATCCAGATTCCCCTGGATATAGTTCTCCCACTGCCTCGTCTGAGTCTGGTAGTTGTAAAGCGCCTTGTCGTATTCTGCATCGTGAACTGCGTGTAGAACTTCCATGATTTGACGCGGAGCTTTTTGACCGATTTCATGAACCATCTCGGGCTTGATGAGCTGGAAAGGTTGCGGTTTCGCTTTTTCATTTTCGCCCTGGTCTTCGAAGATGTCTTGATCGCGGAGACGCTTCAAGTAGACTAAGCGTCGCTCCTGCTCTCGTGATTTCATCAGGAGATATGGCTGCATGAACTTGACAAACGGCGAAGCCGAGAGAATCTTGGTCTCATATTTTGCAACCATATCGCTATAGAAGGTGGGCATCGGCACATCCTCGGGGACCTGGGTGTCATGGGATGCCTTCGAATGAGATTCATGGAGAGAAACCAGCGTTTTAGAGCGGCTGACGGATGACAAAGATGCTTGCTCTTGTATTTGATTTTCGTCTGCCGTGGAGGATGGTGCATCAGCAGGCTGACTGTCCTTGTTGACCTCACTGTTCTGACTAGGTGCGGTCGTTGCGGCAGGCGTAGCCCCTTGATCCGAGCCATTCACAGATTTAGCAGAATCCTCGGTAGGTTGTGTCGACGGGGTGGTAGCACCGTCTATGGTCGCCGGAACATTGATCCATTGGTCTCGCAGGAGACATGACTCCAACTTCAGATTGTAGACGACATAAACCATGAACTCGGTAATAGTCTTCAGGTGTGAGAGCAGATCTGTGGTAGCGCCACGCAGTGCGATGGTACATCCTAGCTTTTCATTGCATCCTGAGATGAAGATGTACGTCTTCTTGCGGCCTGGGAAGTCATTATTGACGTATGTCTTGACTTCAAAGCCCCCCGCTAGGCCAACAGGGATTTTGAGTGCCAACATGTCGAGTGATGAGATGATCTCTGTCTCCGCACATCTCGACACCGCCTCAATGACGGTTTGTTTGACGTTGTATACAACGGATATGCCAGCTTCAGACAGATATTGTAGTGCCACGCCTGCCACACTCTTCTCGCATAAGAGTACCTGTGGACGTAGTGCTATAATCCTGTTCACAACAACACGAAGAAATTCTTTCTCCTGCTCGATGACTGGCTGCAAGCTCATGAAATGCTGCTGCTGTTGTCTCTGGTACTCGATTGGGAAGGAGACGATGATAATGCGAGGGTTGAGAATCCGCCGAGGCATGCTCTTCAAGGCGAGGTTTTTTGTGAATATTACTCCAGAGACGTAACTAGTGTCACCAGGTTTGCCGCCAGGTATCCTTTTCAACTTGACGTAATGTCTGACATCCATGACATCTCCCCTCTGAGCATCTGGGTCGAGATCATTGGAGCATCGGATTAGGATTGGAACCAAAGCTTTCTCCCAAGCAGGCGTATTTGGAATGCCTGCTTCTTGGAGAAGCTGCCGCAACAATTTCTTGACATGTGATAGACTGGGAGCGCTAAGCTCTGTCTCGGGCGGCTTCTCATCTCTAATTGAATCACTTCTTGTAAGCCTTGTGGCCTCGATGGCAGAGGAGTTATCGAAGAGTGATAAGTTGTCGTTTGCGCCCTTGAATACGGCGGATTTTGGACGAGGAGATCGCAAGTGATGTCCACTGGCACTCGTTGTGCTCATATTCCGACGACGGGAAGAACGTCCATGATTAATGGCGGAAGGCAGGTTTAAGTCATCTACGCCGCGACTTGTGAAACTGAGCCCACTAACACTCTTTTCTCCTTGTCGAAATCTGTGCTTCCGCCCGGCGTTGAGAAAGGGACCAAAATTCGATTTCTCAGGATCAAGACTTGACGGTACGATATCACTACTAGCCATTGTTGCAAAAATGCTCATTTGTTCATCACCGCTCGACTCTTCAGACATGTACGCAGCCAATTCCGGGTCAATGATGTTGTCGTCGTGGAAGGCAGGCAATTTGGACTTTTTCCTCAGCTCTTCATCAGCCGACTTTCGAAATGGTGCCGAATCTTCAGGTGCTGTTTTGAATCTGCCGAGGAAATTATGCTTGGAGTGATGGCGCTTGTGGCCTGAAGATTGTGGTCTACCAGCCAGGGATCTCAAGGAGCGAGAAGAACTGGGGCGGCTGAGTTGCGGAGCATCAATCTCCAAGACGGCAGAGTGCCGATTCGATTCCCCCATCCGCCTAGTTGCTGGAATCGCCATCATGGGCGTTGTGATCGATCTGTTGTCATCTACGTCCTCTGTTCTCTCAGACAAGCTCAACTCATCCTCTGCTCTGGATTTTAATGCTAACTGAGTAGTCCTCAGCGGCTTGGGCCGAAATATAGCCGGCAAGTACGAGTCGTCTTCTCCCGAATCATCTGACCCACTGTCATATCTTCGATTGATGATGTTGAGACAAGTTTTGCAGACCCTCAAGGTGCCGCTGACGCCAAATTTTTGCCCAGGAATAGTTGAGGTGCATTTACCATCAAAAATACAGCCGCACGTTCGGCAGTGGTGCTTTCTGCGGAATGCAGAAAAAGGGTCTCCGCAGAGAAAGCATTCTTTGCATGTTTCATCAGCCATCCAAAACTCCTTGCTTAGTACCTGCTTACGCATAACTTCGAGTCGAGCATTGACCATGGCAGGAGCCCCCTCGTTCGTGGTCGTACCGGTAATCCTCATCGCACCTGAGCGTAGTTGTTCCGGCTTCTCGTCGTGTGTAAAAGACTCATGGTAGACAGTGCTGTGAGCGGACATGTTGATCGGGCTTGGCTCTGCAGTCCGGGTATCAATCGATGATGACCGGGATCGCAGCTGACCAGAGCTGCCTGATTGACTGATTCTGTCAATGACAGCGGGTTTTCGAAGAGTCTCTCTCGACGACAAGCGTTGGCCAGAACCTGTTGCGGAGTTCGAGCCGTCGCCAGGGCTGAGGGGCAAATCAATGCTTCCATCAAGACTCATACTCTCATCACGCCTTGACCCACTTGGTATCACTATCCTGTCCCCGGTCGATGGGTTTCTTCGTGAAGAGCCATCGTAAATGCCTGAGTTGCCTGGTGCAACTGCATTTTGTGGAATGTCTGGTAACTTTCCAGTACTCCGTCTACTGTGACTTCTACCTTCATCTGTTCGGAGTGTGACGCCTCGAATGGACTCGTTATCCCTGAAGGCGCTGACGGTGATAGGTACGACAGCCGGATCAACGATGCTCGGGACAGCCGTTTTCGCTATCCGAGGAAGATTCTGTGTACTGGAAGAGGTCGACTTAGACCCGCTTATTGAGATCGAGGGAGCTTTGGAGGACTGTAGCCGACCCTCCGTGGTTGGTGTTCCAGCCGAAGAGGCCGCCGGTATCGTAGCGTCTCCAGAAAGGGCTGAGGTTGAAGTCGAAGCAGTTGCACCACTTTCCCCTCGAGCGAGGGATGAGATAGATGCTTTAGAAGCTGTATGACCGCTATTGGCACTCTTTCTGGATGCCGCATCTGGAATATCTACGTCATCCGTTTCCTGTGTGGCTCCTTTGCCTGCGACTCCTACCGCCTCTTTAAATCTGCTGTATAAGCCGCTCAGTCCTTGCTGCACGATGTCTCCGGCCGTCCCTTTGCTCTCGGTCGGGGGTGCACCACCCGGGGGTGAGGCAAAGTCGTTGAAGGTCGTCAAGATACCGGACTGGCTGGCGGAGGTGTGAATTTTGTCTAGGGCTTGTGCCAGTTGCTCTTTGTCCACTTGCGACGATACGGATATGGAAGTGGTCGAGTCACGGCGAGATCGGCGGTCCACGGGCGAGGATACCGATGTTGGCGAGAGGGCGGACCGCGCCCCATTAACACTCGCCATTATGTCGGCAGGCAGCGACGTTCCTCGTCTTTAGGACGTTGTGGTTATTGTTGTTGACTTGTCGAGTGAGTTCCAGTAGATGCCAGAGACCGCGTGGGCATGTTAGGTATGAAGAAATGGTGTCTGTCGACCTAGAGTCGGATGACGCTGGAATGCATATTGGAGAGAGAAGAGTGTCTTGTTAAGGAAGAAGAGCTGGATGTTAGTCCTTGTAACACGAGATAGAGATGGGCGAAGGGAGTTCAGTTCGCAAGACTGTTGGGCACGACTTACAGCAGATTGAGACTGTAGCTTGGGAAAGGGTACTAGCTTGTCAGTCACATCCTTCAAGAGCCTCAGGCATACTGGATAAGATGACGACGACGCCGACCAAGTCGAGAATGCAGTGTACAGGAAGGGAGGAGAAGGCGGGTTGTTGCGGCGCCACATGCAAAGGTGGGATTCCAGTTTCCAGGAATATCTTGCGTACCTGTGGGATGGGAGGACGGCAAGTACCTGGATGCAACCTATTATTCCCTGCCGTAGTCGACTTGCACGCTACGCAACGGCAACGGCAGCTTGGGACGCG